CTTTGGGCATAGCAGGAACTCAATAGATGCTCGTAGAATCCCGAGTCAGATAAACAACTTTCTTTTCTTTTTTTTTTTTTTTTTCCTTTTTTTGTCTTTTTTCGTGACCGGCAACGGATCGCAACCCGATGTGTCGCGCCCGTACCGGACCGGGACCAGCAACAGGATCGCAACCCTTGGTGTTGCGCCCGCACCTCGCTCAGCCAGTGAGCGGCCGGTCTGTATGTGGGATCTGAACCCTCAGTGGGAGCGCCGCCGCGCTCCCAAGCGGCGCACTGTAGCAGTGCGCCACCGGGCCGGCCCCAGGATAAACAACTTTCTGACCGCCTTTTCTGAGGGAGTCTCTCCCCACTGTCCCCACTGCCCATTAGGAGGTAATCAAGAGCTGACTCTGAATCACAGGGAGCTGAGAGCTAGAGGGCTCTTGACACGTGGGAAGAACGAGGCCAGATGGGTTAAATGACTTGCCAAGGTCACTCTCTCTTAAGAGGCCGGGCAAAGAAATGTCTTGGGACTCGAGTCTTTGGAAAGAAAGAAGAGAAGCAGAAACAGCTCCATGCTGGCTACGAGCATGGGCTTTGGACTCAGACAGGTCCAGAGGTGCTTGCCATCTCTGACATTTACTATCTGGGTGACAGTGGGCAGGGAATGTCACCCCTTTGTATCTCAGTTTCCTCATTTCTAATTTATCACTCCATAGAGTTATAAGGTTTACATGAAATTAAATGAAATCACACCTGTACCACTTGGTTCATGGTAGGTGAACAGTAGTGTTTTTTAATGTACTATTCCAGAAGCATTCCTCTTCTATCACTAGAGGACTCTCCAGTCTGTACCTGTCCTGCAGACCCAAAAGAGGGTGACTAAGGGGGAAGGAAGGATCTGGGCAGTGATCAGTACCTGCTGCGTCTCTTCTCTCCCCGCCCCCTCCTGCTTGCCCAGGCCCTATATGCAACTTACTGCCACACACGAGCTCTCTGTACATGGCTTCATAGAGACAGCCACAGGGTCCCCGTCCATGTTCCCCCACAATGAGGAGCTCTCTAAGACCAAGAACTGGGTTTTATTCATTCAGGTAGCCCTGGCTGCCAGCAACAGAGCAGGTCCAGAGGAAAGGCCCAGCATGAGTTTGCTGGATTTCCAGTGGACATCTGCTAAGTGTGTGCTCTGGGCCCACAGTAAGGGTTAACACATTGGAGCAAGAGTTTTCTGGAAGGCAGGGCCCAGGCTGGATTTGAAAGGCAGGACAGGACTGGATAAGCAGTTCCCACCCAAAAGAATGCTGCCCGGGGCCGAGCCCGTGGCGCACTCAGGAGAGTGCAGCGCTGGGAGTGCAGCAGCGCTCCCGCCGTGGGTTCGGATCCTATATAGGGATGACCGGTGCGCTCACAGCGTTCACAGGACAAAAAAAAAAAAAAAAAAAAAAGAATGCTGCCCGTAGGCCTGGCCACCCACCTGTACTGTCATCATAGACCACGGTCGCTGACCGCCACTTGAGGTACTGGACAAGGTCAAGGATGGCGTGGCTGAGAGAGGCGTAGTCAGGGTAGAGGTTCACGTAGAAGGTGTCTTTGTTGTCCAGCGGGTGGTGCTTCCAGCGAAGCTGGATGTGGGGCACCTCCAGGGCATTACAGATAGACTGGACGGCATTGGTGCAGGAGCCCTGCGATGGCCCAAAGATCGCCACCACGCCCAGAGCCAGCTGGTCACAGGCTGCAACAGAAGGAAGGGCGGCACAGGGGTCAGCGCTGGGGCTGTGGGCATGGGGGTGGGGAGGAGCAGTGATTCTGAGTGATCCCATAAACAGGTAGGAAAAGCAGCACCTGGAACGCTCTGAGGGTGGACGACTGATGATCTCTCTTTTTCCTCATCTGAAAAACGGGGTTTCTTATAGTCCTTACCTCATGTGATCATCGGAAGCTCGAACAAGGTACAAGACCAGAGCACAGCGCCTGGTCCTCAGGAAGCACTCATGACATACAAATCGTTGCTACTTTGATGCTATCAACATCGTGATTAGCATCACCAGCTCTGTGCCAGCTCCTGTCCTGGGGGCGGATCTTAAGAAACAAACAGGAATCAAACATCTACTGACTGACTACAAACATCTTAAATATCAATATCCAGCCCTGAAATCTGCTTTGTACCTCTCACCTTTCTCTCAGCATCACCATTTGGGCACCTAAGAAGCATTTCAGACCTATTGTATCCATAAGTGACCTCCCGGCCTCCCCCATCTCGGTGGTCCCAGGCTCTTACGCCAGAAACCCTGGCTTTGTCTTGACGCCTCTCATTCTCTCATATCCCACATCCCGACCCAGCAGTAACTCCTGATGCTTCACCTTCAAAGTATATCACAATCTGACCACTTCTTGCCGTTCCTACACCCCATTACCAGCCTGGTCCAAGTCACCATCATCTTCCACATGGATTATTGCAGAAGCTCCCTCAGTCATGCTCCCCACCATCTATGCAGCACTTAGCAGCTGGAGGGAGCCTTTCATGACATAAGGTGGATTACGTCATTCCTTTGCTCTGAGGGCTCCCATCTCACTCAGTGTAAAAGCCGAAGTCCTTACAGTGGCCAAAGTGGCCCTACTTGTGGCAGCTCCTCCCCACCCTTTCCCCTTCACCACCACCATTACTTTCCTGACTTCGTCTCCTGTCCTTCTCTCTCTCCCTCCCAGCACTCAAGCCCCACTGACTTCCATGATGTTCTTCAAACACACTTTGCACACTCCTGCCTCAGGGCCTTTGCACTTGCTGTCCTCTCTGGCTGGAATGTCCTTCCCTCAGATATTCACCCCCCTCCCTTTCAGGTCTCTGCATCAGCCTGCATGTCTTAGGGAGGCCATCACTGCCCAATTTATAATAGCAACCCCTATCCCGCCACCCCACTTCTTTCTGTCCTGATTAAATGACCACTGATGTCTCATTCATTCACTGACTTTCTCCTCCCACTAGAACCTAAGCTCCAAAGAGGCAAGGGCTTGGTCTGCATTGTTTGTTGCTCTATCCACAATGCTTAATCAACATCCAAATGTTGAATGAATGCTGAATCCCCGCCTTCAAACAGTTCCCGTTCTTGGGGGAGGCCCAAGGGCTTGGGCAGGAGAGACAGCAGATGCTTCCCGCTGCACTGGAGTGGTCATGGCAGGGCATCAAATGAGCAGACCCAGGGCAGCTGTGGCTCAAGGGGGGGGGGGTTGGCCTAAAAGTTCCACAAAAAGGGGGCCATTCTGGGGGGGAGGGCTCCCCAGGAGCCATTCCCCTTTCTTCCTGCAACTGTTCTAATTTTCCTTGGGGCTCCACCCCCTTTCCACTCTCAGTCCATAGGGGCAGAGCATGCAACTTACACCCAGGCCAACCACCAGCTGATCACCCCCAGTCCACAGCCACTGGCTTAGAGGATGGTCATGTGATCAGCCAGAGCCAATGGGACACCCTAAGACCTCTCTGACTGAGAAAGGGGCACTTTCCCTCTTTAGCTGAACCCGGGGTTCTGGAGCTGCAGTAGCCATCTGTGCTCACAAAGAGCGGTGCTTGTCTGTGAACAGTCAGTGTGCAGGTCAGCAGAGGCAAGAGAGAGAAACATGAGCTCGATCAAGTGAAACACCAGCCTTTGTTTACATGAACCAATATAGTCTCTCTTTTCATTTAAGCCATTTAGGTTTTGGTTTTCTGCCATTTGCAACCATCTGAGATCCATCGATAGGGCATGAGCAAACTCACTGGTCCCTGGTCATGGGAATGATACCACAGGCATACATATGAACACGTGAGGCACGTGGGAGGAGGCAAGATGGATACACTGTGGATTCAGACACGGCTGGCTGCCCCAAGGGCCTCTGGGAATGACCTACTGGGCACAGGCCTATTCCTGAGACTTGCAGGGCCCAGGGCCAGAGTATAAATGGAACCCACTTTCCATGTGGCTAAATATTTAAACATCCCAAGTCAAGCTAACGAATTGTTAAATAAAGCATGTCTTTTTTCTCCTGCCTTGACAAATATACCCTCATAACAGTCTGGAAAGTCAAGTGAGAATGGAGACTTCTTGAACACAGTGACATGGGGAGTGGTGGTCCCCAGCAACACCCCCCCCCGCCCCTCTCTCTTTTACTACTGGCTCCATCCTGAACCACAGGGGCCTTGCACTCTCCATGTGGACACCCCGGCCCTTATGTCCAAGCACTTTCCCACCCCCTGCAAACAGCTGGTCCTCGGTCACCCCTAGGGCCTAAGAGTGTGCATCCTGGAGGTATGGCTCTCCCTCTGGAGGGTAGATACAGGGAAGAGGCTCCTACAGGCCTGGAAGTGGGCTCAAGTCCAGTTGGGAAGGAAATTCAAGATTCTAGAAACCGAGAGCAAAGTCTAGAAGGGCAGGGCACAGGTTTCTAGTAGTCAAGTCCCCTTGGTCACAACGACTTCTTGTCCTGGGAGAAGAGGTGGTGATGTTGGCATTGATAAGATTGGTGATGATGATGTTAATGCCAGGACAGTAACAGTGATGGTGACAGGGGGAGTGACAATGGTGATGGTGGGGCTGATGAGATTGGTCATGATGAAGATGTTGATGCCAGGACAGTAACAGTGATGATGACAGTAGGAGTGACAATGGTGATGTTGGCGTTGATGAGATTGGTGACGATGAAGATGTTAATGCCATGACAGTAATGATGATGATGACAGTGGGAGTGACAATGGTGATGTTGGCGTTGATGAGCTTGGTGACGATGAAGATGTTGATGCCAGGACAGTAACAGTGATGGTGACAGGGGGAGTGACAATGGTGATGGTGGGGCTGATGAGATTGGTCATGATGAAGATGCTGCTGTCATGGCAGTGATGGAGATGATGATGGTAGGGTGGTGAGGGTGGTGCTGATACAGTTAAGAGTGGAGGAGATACCACTGTTGATGGTGATGACAGTGATTGTGGTGCTGGTGGGTGTACTGGTGTTGACAGTAGTCACAATGTTGGTGATATGAGGAGGGTGACGACAACCAACTGGGTTTCATTCTGCCAGTGATGCAGTGATTAGACCTCACTGCTGAGCAGCAGGAGGCATCGTTTTCTTTGCCCTTGACTTGTTTCTTCTCCTTGGCCTCTCTCCACGTCCCTTTTCCTGCCCCCTCCATGTTCTTTCCACCCTCTCAGGACCTTCCAGCATGGGAGAACACTGCTGCTCCAAAGGGACTAGTGCAGGGGTTATAGCAGCAGCAGCGGCTTTACCTCCAGATGTTTCCAGGGCAGCAGCCAACCCCTGTTCTGGCAGCCCTGAGCAGACGCTGCAGTAATTACATTATTTGTGGATTCAATTTTGAATCCATTTTCTGGTCATTTTGCAGTAACTCAGTGGTTCATAGTCATAGCAGGAGTCCACACAGCCTGAATGCAGCCCCCATCCTTCCTTTCCATGGCAATTGTAGTTAACGGCAAAAATTATCTTAGCTGATTTGTTTCTTAAAGGGAATTGAGCAGCCCAGAGAATAAGTGAAGGCAGAGGAGCCTGGGGAGGACCAGGTCGATCCCAGACCCACTCTGGCCAGGCTTGGAAAACACAGACACTCTCTGGGTTGCTGGTTCATGTGCTGCCTGGCAGTCTCTCATCTTTTAATTTTCCACAAAACATTTAAAAATAAAGGCAATAAGTATAAGTCTCTTTTAATGGGGAAAGGCCTCCTAAGCCTCATGCAGGGGAAAGGATTAACTCAACCAGAGCTGGTGGGGCAGGCGGTGCCATGTCCTGTGCCTCTGTGTCTCCTCACCCCAAACACCCGAGGTGGCTGCAGCCAGCTGGTGGGGAAGGGAGCAGTGACAGGAACTTCCATCTAGTAAAAATGAATTATCACTGGATTAATTAGAATGAGGTCCAAGTCCATGGCCCTGGAAGAGTCCTAAAGATGCTCCTGAGGAAGGCAGTTTAAAAAAAAACAAAGGTCGAAAGAAAAAAATGAAGATCATAGGAAGAGGGGGCACCCCAAGGGATGGAGGGTGCCAGATGGAGAAATGACCCAACAGCACAAATGCCTCCAGGGCCAGCAGTGGCGATTCCAACCACAGCAGAAGGAGGGTATCTCAGGCGTGCTATCAGAGGGACATTGAGGGAGAGTGGTGCAGAGAGGTGCCACTTAATTTTTTTATTGAGATATGATATAATACAGTAAAGTGCATTAAACTTAAGCACGTGAACTTTTATGCATTTTTACATATAATTGCACCTTTTTATCATGCACTCCGTAGATCAAGATATAGAACGTTTCCAACACCCAAGAAGATTCTCTCTTGCCCCTTTCAGTATCCACTGCAAACTACTCCCTCCCCGCAAATTAACCACTTTTCTTTCACTCAACATTATGTCTGTGAGCTTCATCCATGAGGTTGTGTTTTTCTGCGAGAGTTTCTTCTTTTTTATTGCTGATTAAAATTTCATTGTATAACCATACCTCAATCTATCCATTCTCGAGCTGAAGGACCCTTCATTTATTTCTGACTTCTGGTTAGTATCATTAGAGTGGCTGGGAACACTCTTAATAAGCACAAGCTTAATAGATACTGCCAAACCATTTTCCTGAGAAGTTAAACATTTCACTCTCACCAGCACCATATAGAAAAAATAAACCTCAACCCTTACCTTCCACCATATACAGAAAATCAATCTGTGATAGATCACAGAGCTAACTATGAAAGACAAAACAATAGAGTTTCTA